TCAAGGCTATGACATTCCATTGCCTGCCTACCTTTATGAAATACTTGCAGGTACGGTGATATTCCCGGGTTAAAGGGGTTCCAAGTCAAAGCAGGAGTAGGAATGCAGTGATTTTAGTCAGTAAGAGTCTGACACTGTCTCTCGCCTTAACCGGGCGGGAGCAGTCGTTAGATGATTGGCCCAACTCAAAAAAAGGTGTGATGATATTGTATGGATGAACTTACTTCGTCTACATGTTATTTACAGATATGAGACGGTTCCTTTATATTTTCTGTACGACACCCACCATCAGAATGGGGGTGGTGATTGTAAAAGAGTAACTACAGACTTACTTGTCTTTTCGATCCATACAACTCTACATATGGGAACGAACACCAAGTACCATTGCCGGACACACTCACCAACTACTGTGTATTTCTTGATGTTTTAAAAGTACCTGTGGATGTTTATATAGTAACGGTACGGTACGATGGGCAACCGGCTGCCGCTCAACGTGCAGCGGGTTTGATACTCGGATGGAACAAATCTTTGTTTGATTAACAAGTTATTGTTTCGGGTCTGGTTGTCATGTGAAATTGTATGTTTGTGAACGCTCCGACTGCACAGAACAAAATCATAGTGTGGGGCAACTTTTTAAATGGTGTACTATGTGCGACACACACGGGAAGACTAGCGATGGTCACAGATATATTCAAATCTGCCGTCACCACACGACAGGATAGCAGGTGGAGTTTAATAAGACACAAATAACTAATAAGTAGCTGTATAAGCAACAAGCGATACTTTCATTGGTAGAAGCTTACAATCTCATAGTAAACACCACTGGCGAGCCTCAGGTTGCAACATATTGCTACAGTACCCACCAATGAGGGAGGTCGCAACAGTTTCAACCGCTGTGATTGGTCGGCTCGGTGTAGCCGAGTGAGGGCGGTCCCACTTCATTAAGGCGAATGTCGCTAAAATAGGCTTTTTTCTGGCGTTTGTTTTATATGTAGCTGTGTAGGGAGAGGGATGGGATGGCTCGCTGCAGTCGTACTGTGTGTCACAGTACATAGGGTGAAGTTGGGTAAGTGCTAGGCTAGTAAATAACAGGAACATATTGTTTCATTTAGAAAGTGCGTCATGCTCTTTTATTCTAAATTGTAAGTGTTCCTATATTTCATTTGATGCGATACGCCATGTCACATCTACAACCACGTCTTGTCCAACGGAGTACTTACAACATACATATAATATGAAATTACTTACTTACTTACTAAAGAAATGAATTAGGATATATCATTCCAATAAATATAGCATTTCCACAGTGTCAACTCGAAAATTTTTTAGACTTTTCTTAACTTATCGCTCTAATAAGAATCACGGAAACAAACTGAAAGATTACAGTGTTACTTTTAAAATCCAGATATCAGTAAAAAAGTATAAGTTTAAAAATAAATAAACAAAACACGTTCAGGTATATATGTCAAACAATCAGCTTACTTAGTTGTTCAAGTAATCATCTGAATGTTTAGCTTCGATTATTATGACAGTCTGTTCTCTGATTGGTTGAATGTCTACTCGGTTGGGTTATAATTGCAAAAGAAATGAAGCAGCTACATTGCTACTTCGTTTAGTATCACTACCTATGATTTCTTTCGTTTCTGATGATTCAAAATAGCATTTAAGAAAGGTTATCACAGCATGCACCCCACCCTTTGTGAGCTAAGTACCAAGTAGTGTTCATTCTTTATATCAACGGAACAGCAAACAAGAACATTCTATAAATAGACCACAGACATACAAAGTGAAAAGCAATTTAAAATAAAACTACACAGTACATACTATATAATATTTCGCAAGCGTCGGCGGGTGGAGGCAGGGCATGGAGGGGGAGGGGGGGGGGGGCGGTGTAGCGGCAGAGTACCAGAACGATATTCAAATTGCGAACATTTCATTTTAACGCTTGCGAAGATATTCGCGCGCTCCCACGCTTCTGTAGGGATGGGACAGTGTTTGTGGTTTGTTGTCGATACTTGTAAACGTAATACTATTTTTAAATAAATAAAGGGCTTCGGAACTGATTCTTCACTTTTAAATTTCTATTGCTGACGTTCAAAAGTGCCTTCCTGGTCTAATTGAAATAAATGATTTTGAGTTTAACTTTGATTCTCCTATAACACACAAGTACCATCAACTTCATATCATCGTTATACTGATGATCTTTACTAGTATTTGTCATGTTAGTACTGTTGATATAGAAGGAAACTAGATAAGATCTGTCCAAAATTACATTCACAGTAAGATTCCACTGTTGGAAAACAGGAATTTGCTATCACCCATAAACACCACTGGTCGTAGGCCATGGAGCCTTTTAGTCAGCTCATACAATACCCGCAGGAAGAGTAGAGGTGGGGACAAATGTATTTTCTACTTTAGAGTCACCACACGGTGATCCAAAATTTATTTAATACAAAATATCGACAGCCACCCATCCCTACTCCAAGTTGAGACGTTTGCGAAATGTTCACATTTCGCGAATTGATCGTTGCTCTGCGGAATTCTCATTTGCGCCTCGTTCCTGTACCGCGTCCCCCTCCCGCGCCCCCGCGCCCCTCACCCCGCGCCCCCACCCCCGCCGGCGCCCGCTCAGCCACACCTGTATCTGTTGCCTGTACAGGGTGATTCCATTCTCATGTGTAGGAATTTGAAGAAATAAGTCCGGCCTGTAGTGGAATGAGGTATTTGGTGAAAGGTTTTTTTGTATAGGAATGGACAATAATTGGAAGTGTGGAGTAGGAAAACCTGTTTAGTTTCGTTGTAGGATTTGAAACAGTGTTGTTCACGTTTGTGGGCTATTTCAGTACGTTTCAGTTCACCTTTACTTTGATGTGTAGTGCGTTTGGTGAGTTCAATAAGAAAAGAAAGAGACGAACTTAGGTTGTTTTTTTTCATTTACAGTGTACTTACGTAATTACAACTGTTAATAGATTGTTATTTTTCATAATGATACTTTTGTTTATTTCTAAGTAAAGACATCAACGAGTCAGTGCTACGGCGTAGCCAGTGCTACGACATATTTTGTAACTATTTAAAAATAAAAATACACAATTTTAGACTAAATTCATTTCGAAGGGGAGTAGATATTTACATGTTTTAAAGAATTTAAAATGCTTTAGTTCACTCGGGCCTTGAAACAAGAAGCCATAAATAAGAAACCCATAAATCAAATTTAACTTCATTCTTAAAGATCCATTATTATAATATAGTTATAAGTCTTCCCCATAGTAACGTAACATAATATACAAAGAGATATATTAATCCAAGCACCCCGTACAAAAATTCCCGATCGGCTTTAAAGAGAAAACGCGCAGATATTCAGTTATACATTGATAATTACTCCGACCTCCGACCTCACCCTCCGCGCCCTCCTCCCTCCCTCTCATTGTAATTTAAATCGAATTCCCGTCGACAAGTAAATTGAAATATTTCAATTTCAACGCACCTTCCGCTCTGACGTTCGATATTTGAATTTAGAATTAAGATGGCGACCGTTGCCGTCATGTTTTGTTTTCTTTTGTTGTTGTTTTGTGGCTTAACACGTTAAACGCCATGACAGTCACCGGTGACCGACATTAGCGGAGGATTTGCCTTCAACAGTTTTCTATTGGCAGCCAATGCCTTACATTGTAATAATAGAGAGAAACATATTTCAGGGAAGCAGGTTCGGTCCTACGCACAGACTATTTCCATTTTATTATATGTTTTTACAAAATATGTAAGTTGGGAATTTTTGACGGTTTACAGGTTTTATTTAAATACCTTTCTATACTATAAATATGCACCATGCTTACAAACGTGTACTGTCAAATTTGGACATCGAGCAAAACAAAATGAGGCGAATTTTCTATTATACAAGTACTTGTTTTAATGATCTTAATTTCTATACAAAGAAACATTTAATGTAGGAACTTGTACCAGATATTTTTTTTTGCAATAAAATTGCTTTTCCCTATTCCGACCTAAGAGTCATCATTCATTAATGAAGTTCTAAAGTAAGTACCTATTCTAAAGTTTATAAACCTCTCGTATTTTAATAAAAACCGTTATAATTAAATCAACCAGTCTATTAATACATAATGAAGAGACAAACCTTTTGCCTTCCCCGTATCGTCTACAATATTTAAACTACCAACAAACTCCTTTTCTAAAAGCTCTCGAATAAACACAAGCTATTCATAATGACAAACAAATGGACAATACATTAATATTATCACTAGATCTAGTGTGTGTATGTGTGTTGTGTGCTCATCTCGGAAACATAATTAAGATGACAAGATATACAGAGTATAGAGAGAACTGCCACAACGCATCACACGACACGACGGACGGACAGACCGACCATATTCCTCGCATTATACCACAATAACTAAACAATTAAATAAAGCCCCTACAGAACAATAAAGAAATAAAAACGAAACGCAATCCACGACGCGAATAACAAACATAATTGTGTTTTTTGTGATTCATTCAATACACTCTTTGTTCGCATAAAAAAAACTGGTTCTCAAAAAAAGTCACCTTTATAAATTAAGTTTCAGCATTCACCAGCCAATCAGCACTCAGAGGCGGGGTTTGAAAGCGATGTCATTGGTCGAGCCGAGCCTCTCATCTTACAACATTTTATATAACCGGATGATACAACATATACAGTTAACACTACAGAGCGAGCGGGACGGCGATATACGTTTGTATACAGTGTGTCGTTTCGCTCTCGTTCCGTCTCTGTCACGCGGCGCGGCAGCAACTGTTCGCTTGAAAATGAATCAACAGTGTTCGAAACAACTCGCCGGAGTGTGTCGCCTTAACTGTAACGTTCGCGTTCCAAATTCGAATTGCAATTCTTTTTTTGAAATTTAAAATAGAAGAATAGTGTTGTTGCATAATGTTGTTGTGTTGTCAGTAGTTGCGCGGTTGTTGCAGTTGTCAGTTTATTTAGTTGCAGTTGGATTGTTATTTTGATGGAAATGTCTCTTCCGAACGGTGTGGACGTGTCCCAGTTGGTGCAGCACCCGGTGCTGGCTGCACTGCCTCCGTTCTTCCTCAGAGCCTCAGAGAGATACCAGGTAGATATTTTAATAAATTATTAAGTGTATCATTTTATCACACGTGCCAAGTTTCCACTTAAAGTTTTAAAAGGGTCGTTTCATATTTTGTGATGGTGAGTGGCTTCATATTGCGCTCAAAGCTCAATGGGAAAATATATTATTTTTCGGGCTTTGTTTGAAACTTGTGAAAAATAATGAAAATATTAGAAACGAATAAGAAAATGTTGCCGGATGATAACTTAATAAAATGGATACGTTGATTATACTTGTGATACAAATACAATTATAAAGAACCAGATATCTATAAAATTATCAATGTTCATTAATTTAAAACCTAGGTCTAGGTTTTTTACTATTTCAGGTTGGTCTATCTATCTAGGTTGTTTATCTGTTTAGTTACCATTACATGGAAAATTATTGTCTAGACTGTTCTACTTTTTATTAAAAATTTAATTTATTTTACCCATTGTTGTCGTTTCGAATGGTATAATATATATAATTGCTTCAAATTAAAACCCAATCGAGTGTCTAAATACTGAGATTTTGATAGTTTTATTTGAAGCAATGAAAAAAATATTTTAAGAAAAATTATTGACTAAGCTCAAGCTAAAGTAAAAATGTAATTAATTAAAGATAAAAAATAACAATATAATTATATGGTAATTCATTTAGGTACCTACTTCATGTATTTATTTAGATATTATAGAATTTATCTATATACCGATTGAAGTGGAAACTGTCGTGTTTTTTCTTCTCCTCTTATAATATCTTTTGATTCGCTTCGTTGCGGAACCCAGGACAGTTATTCATGTCCCTGGGACGCGCCGGACTTCAGTGTTCCGGTGTTTTTATGGTTGTGTCTACTGTAGATCCTGGCTTACAGGAGTTGGAGGTTTCGGTTTTGGGAGGTTGTGGCGGGCTTGTTAGAATAAATTAAAAAAAAAATAGAATTTGAAATTGTTAGTAGATTCATGTCAAATGGTAAAGGATTTACGATTAAAAGAAAATAGATAATGTCATAACCCGTCGCGCGTCGCACAATGTCGAAGTGCGACGGCCGAGAGCAAATGTAATATTTCTAGTTTTTCACTCTTCAGTGATACTAGACTTATAATACTGTTTGAAAAATATATTCAATGCTATACATTACGGTAGGTATTTCTGTCACATTTATTCCATCTGATAAACAGGATTGTATATCCCTGTTAGTATTATTTTCTGTTGAGAATACAGACTGAAGTAAATTTTTATCTTTTGACAGTTACAGCCAGCGTATCGAGTGAGTGATTTGAACAGATTTAAAGCTTACTTATTTCATTATTATCCAGCTGAGAGTAAAAAGATTTTTGTACTTAGTAAAATGAAGAAAAACAGACACCAATGTATTACATTTTTTTATTAAGTAGTGTAGTGTAATTAAATCTTATGAAGTTGACTTATAAAGCAGTACGAATAGGTACCTATATTGATCTAATCTGGCCTGTTATCTAAACACCTAGGACATAAGCAGATAACCTGAAGAGACATAGGATCTTCTGAAACAAAGGCAGATAGCTACACATTTTGGAACATGTTCAAACGTTAGGAGATCTCCTATAAAAAATAAAAAATCAACTAACATTTAATTTTAAAGTTTGTTATTTTAGAATTTGTTTTTAAAACGTTTTTATGGGATATAGTTAGCCTCAACCCCTATACAAACATTGTTCCCGCGGGCGAGTGGAGCCTCGTTCAAACAGGCGGCACCGTTCAAAGGCAGCACGGCAGTCAAGTGTGAACTTGAAGATAAAAGTAAACAGTTATAGCTAGTGGCAAGTCGAGTGGACTGGAATGAGCTAATGGTGCACAAGTTATCAGTTTGAACCTCTTTCGATGCATTAAATGAAGTAATTGTTTATGTTTATAGTATTAATGCGTTAGTAGTAGAAACCTTTTGTAATGTCAAAAGTCAAAGTCAAAGTCAAAATCATTAATTTCAATTAGACGAGGAAGGGACTTTTGATCGCCAGAACAAAATATTTAAATATTAAGAAAAAATGTCAGTCTGTAGGTCAGTCCTCTAGTGAAGCTATTTGCTCGTTCCAAAGTGTAGATTCCTATGGAGAAGAACGAGCAAGAAACTCCATAGGTTACTATTTTTCAATCAGGTTCACAATGAAAGCCGATTCATTACTTTGGTAAGGCAACATTAACAGATAGTTATGTAAGTAGTAAAATAAATAATATACCAGTATAATGATCTCTTATTCAATACTGATAGTAAGCTCCTCGCAGTTTCGAATCTTTTAAGTTATTGTTAAGATGATTGAATAAGGCCTGAGGAACTAGATGTGACTAGTCCAGTATGTAGGTATACTGTACCTATAATCTACACAGAGACCTGGCACTCTTTAATTATTCTTGATCATCTTACACTCCGATTTCCAACCAAAAAGTTTTATCAAAATCCGTTCAGTGGTTTCAGCGTGATTGACGGACACACATCCAAATCAAAGAAACTTTCACATTTATAATATTAGTGTTAGTTATGATTTGATTAAGAATTAACTCGATAGTAATATGACATGATTTAAATATAAACCTTTTCAAATAAAATGTTTTAAATATATAGGAAAAGTTTTGTAGATTCACAGTTAGGCTAAACCTAACCTAACTGTGAATCTATTAAACTTTGCCCTATTTCAGCCCTGCTAAGGCTAAAATATTATAGTTAGGTAGGGCATTGTCGTGTATATAATAATCAAATACGCTTTGATTAGTATATACACGACAGTCCCCTACTGAACTAAAAGCACTGATTTCAGGGTTTACCAAATTTTTTACATTGGCAATATTGATTCAAAAAAAACACAATCGAACAAAGGATGACAAAACTTATTATGTTTACGTGGACTATCGCGCTGGTTCAGCCTCTAGCATGGCTTGAAACTAGTTCCTCGTCATATTATTACGTGAGTAAGCCGAAAACAATAATAATTCATTTAGTATGGCTCACGACAAAGTTCTAATAATCAGTGTCAGCCATGATACCTTCTCCCAATTGTTAAATAATATTGGTAACACTGCTTTGCATAAGTTTAATCATGATACTCGAATTATTAAAACACCCTTTAACCTTTAAAAAGTAAAAAACACCAGCATCACATAACACTTCCTGTAACCAACACATTACATTAACAAATTCTTTTATAACAACACATTAACATGTAATTACCGAAATTACAACACTGTGTCGTAATAAACACCCCCTGTAACAAATAACACTGCTACATTACAACACAATGTGTTATTTGTTATAAATGTGTTTTTATGTAAATGTAATTGTAATTGTAATAGGTGTGTAATGTGATATTATTGAATTACAGAGGGATTATTTTGTAACTGATACATTTTCGCGTGTGTGGCCAAAATATGGGGTTTGTGAATATTGTTGATTGTATGTTACCTGCCTTCTTGGTATAGTTGGATGGATTCAGTTCGTCAGCTGCTGCTTATGGTTATAGATTAGTTTTGTCTCGTTACCTATAACTTGGGTTTTTCTGCGTCTTATTTGAGTAGGTACGGTTACATATCTGTGGAATTTCGGTATGAATGATCGATCCAATGTTAACGATGAAAGTCGGTTGTGTCTGCGGTAATTTTTTAATTTTGACTGATTAAGTAGGTAAGTATCTTTTATCTGAGCTAAAAAATCTTCCTTTCATCTCTATACGCACAATTTACGTATTTGAGGTTATCCTAATCAACAGATTTGCTATTATAAATATTTAAATGATACCTATACACTGCTAAGACAAGTAATGATTTCGTTTCATTTCTATGTTACCTTATATACAACTATGTCCGGGCTAGAACGAATTATAATCTAGATTCAATTGAAGGGTTACATAGGAAAACTTAAGTATATTCAAAAATATAATACTAGTGTCCCGATTGTACGCATGTGTCGGTTTACAATCGACACATGCGTACTGCCTTCAAAACGGGTCCACTCAAACTGTTGTGGTTCTTTCCTCAAAAGGCCACTACAGAAAGAACTTGCACGGTTCTCACACATAATCTATTATACATATTGTCTGGACTTTAAAAGACAGACCTCTGAGTATGTTTCGGCATTTCTTCTCAGAGTAGTCAGTTAGGAAATGTCGACCTCATCGTTCGCTTGATAAAAATTGACGTGTTAAAGTGATGCCTTGTAGTCTATTTGCAGAAATAAATTCACTTGTTTCACTTGATCTTGGAAGAACTGATTGGGTTTTCCATCATCATCCTACCTTTATCTGAAGCTGTGTTTTTATGTGTGATAGGTATGTCTTCTTTACCTCTGTTAGCCATCATTCTTATACAAGTAGCGTATGATTGGTGTAGTGACTGTATGGTTGACTTGTACGGGTGATAAGTACTGAGTATATAAATCGTGTAGTAAAATGCGGTAGTATTAGCTCGTGTGTATTTAACAAAGTCCATATTTAATATCACCTTTAATGATCAATGGGTTGTGTAGGGCAGATATTAACATTTCGTGTCATTTCAGTTAAAAATTGATGCTCTCTACAAACACTTTACTTATTAAAGACCAGGACCGATTAATCTTCAAAGAATCTGTATCCATTATTGTTTTTATTTTCTTCTTATGGTCAAAATTAATAACAGAAAATCTTAGTACGACCGACCGAACGTTTACATACTTTATGCATTCTGACTAGTCAACCCTTAGCTGATGCAGAGATAATAACGACAAACATCGATTTCAATCTAAACATTATAGATTGAGATTAGCAATTCAATTTGTATTCTGACATATTAAGTTATTTATTATGTTTTCGGTTTACTCACGTAATTGTTTGACGAGGAACTCGACTAGTTTCCAGTCATGCTAGAGGCTCATATTCATGAGTATGAGTGGCTCATATTCATCTGGCTTTTATATGCGAGTAAGCCGAAAAACATAATAATGAATTGAATTTCTGTTAAATATATGTATTTCTGCCGACGGCGACTGCCGGCCGGGTCTCGGGTTCGATTCCCGGGTCGGGCAAAGTATTACTGGGTTTTAAAAAAATTTCAGTAGTAGTACGGAGTCTGGAATTGTGCTTGGTATACGGCAATAGGCTCACCCCCTATTATATGGGACTCATTACATAAATAGTGAAAAGTGGGTGTTACATTGTATAGTGGCATAATGTACAATGTAGCCTACACCTTCGGGGATAAAAGGCGTGATGTTATGTTAAAAATTCTCAGTAGTAGCATGGAGTCTGGAATTGTGCACAGTATATGGAAAAAGGCTCACCCCCTATTACATGGGACTCATTACATAAATAGTGAAAAGTGGGTGTTACATTGTACAGTGGTATAATGTACAATGTAGCTTACACCTTCGGGGATAAAAGGCGTGATGTTATGTTATGTTATGTTATATGTATTTCTTTTGTTATGAATGAGTTGATCAGTAAAAAGAAGTTGCTACATAATAACCAGTCTGCTCTGCCTCACCAGCGGACGCCGAAGTGCGCGCGCTGCCGCAACCACGGCGTGGTGTCCGCGCTGAAGGGCCACAAGCGGTACTGTCGGTGGCGCGACTGCGTCTGCGCCAAGTGCACGCTCATCGCCGAGCGCCAGCGGGTCATGGCTGCACAGGTGAGTCACTGGCTCTGCTATATCTGCTAAGGATCGGAATTCTTCTAGTCCCAAATGACTATTTACTTTTTTTTAAAGTTAACGTAGCACTCAAACCAACCCCTTACTTGTACTGTCAGGTGTCACCTATAGATTGGTGTAAACGTAAAAGTCGTTAAGTGTTTATCTCAACTTAGACGTTCCTTAAAATTTAGGAGTGGTCGATGTTAGTTACTTATGGGTTTTATTCTTATTTATGAGGTCTCGGGTTCGATTCCTGGGTCGGCTAACGAAAATTTGTGTTATGGACATTAATACAATGTGTTTTTTTAATTCCTCTCAATCATTACAACTATACCTAATATTTAATACAGACCGTTCTTTTCAAGAAAATACTTAAAAACACTCCCATAATTAGTTTCTATAACAACTGTCCCCTTTATATCTACTTTCCTATTTATAAGTGCCCCGTATTAAACTTGAATGATATAGTGCTATGTGTCCCACATAGTTCGTACAGCATGGTGCGCTTGCGCAGGTGGCGTTACGTCGTCAGCAGGCGCAGGAGGAGAACGAAGCCCGGGAGCTGAACCTGCTGTACGCGAGCCAGACGTCCACTGCGCCACATCACTATACTGACATGCCCGAGGACTCACCAGGTATGGATGCAACGATAGTTAGGATAATACATTAAATAATAAGAAATAACTTCATTTTGTGAAAAGCTTATCAAAGTTCTAGTCATTTTTGCCCTTTCGTCTCTTAATTTTTTTTTTGTTTTTTTTTTTAAAAACGTTGCCCCACACTAGGATTTTCTCCTGTGTCGTGGGTGCGTTTACAAACACAGAAATTCACATACACAATGACACCCAGACCCGAAACATTAATTTGTGGATCAACACAAAGTGCTGTCCCGTGCGGGAATCGAACCCGCGACACGTTAAACGTCTATACCGTAGTCTAACTTGCCACTCCAAAGACAATGTAATGCGTTGCGGATCATGTAGGAAAATTTATAATGGCACCAAAGTTTTCAAATAGGAGGGGTCACCGAACATGACGGTGCAAATAAACAGTGGGTTGGGCATCTCGAACTTTTGGAACTCCAGAACCTAATTCTACCGTAAGATAGTTTATTGAGTCAGGCCTTATTACCGTTTAGGTTGATATTTGGTTTCTGGCGCGACTATTATTAGTAATAGTGATACGTAATTCTTAGCCCCGTTCGAACATCAAATACACATGTTTCTACTAAGTCTTATAGCCACAATTTCCGGCTAAGACCGTGCAGCCGCGGGCGAGCGCTGTCCCGCTCACTGGCAGAGTGTCGCCAAGAATCTAATCTCAGTTGTCCCGAGGCGAGCGCTTCCTTACCCCCGTCCGTAACTTGTCACACACACTTGCCAGTTACTTGCGACATCACCGGAGTTGATGTGAATGAAGCATAGAAATGTTTAATATTAATTGCTGATAAATTTTCGTCATTTAAAACTCGAAGCACATTTTCACATTCAAAACGTTAAAAATAGTACAATATTATTATGACTCAAAGAATCCCCGCACCGCTACACCGAGTTACCCATGGGTACGGTTTCAATGGAAAAATCGATGGAAAACCCTCTGCATAAAATAAAACATCAACACGGCAACTAAAACGCCCCTTAAACGAGTAAAAAAATACAGTTTAAGAAAAAAAGCGCAGTGCTACCAATTAAGGTACAACGGTGCTAAGTGTTGCCACTTCCCCGCGCCGGCGTGGGGGTTAAAAAAACGTTAAAAAGTCGCGACGCATTGTAGCGCGGCGCGCGGCGCGCGGCGGGTTAGAACAGTGTTCCTGTAACTGAGCAATTACAGTTTTGTTTGCTTTCTTTCTTTCCTGGTACATTCGGAACTGAATGGAAACGGTGATCCTGTTCAGAACAAAAGTATGTTTGCCTCATTAAAAATACATACCTGACTGCCTCGTTGGCTGAGTGGTCGCCAGCGCGATTGCCGGGCAAGGAGTCTCGGGATTGATTTCCGGGTCGGGCAAAGTATTACTGGGTTTTTAAAAATTCTCAGAGGTCGCGGTGCCTGGAATTGTGCCCGGTATAGGCGCACCCTCCATTACATGGGACTCATAACATAAATAGTGAAAAGTGGCTACATGGTACAGTCGCACAAATTACCGTAATTTGCACCTTTGCCTACCCCTTCGGGGATAAAAGGCGTGATGTTATGTTATGTTAAAAATACCTTTGTTGCAGTTGACTAGCTTAATTATGCATTCAACTAGCGTCCAGATCGACAATCCATTTCAGAATGAACTACCTCATCAATCGGAAACAAATGGCAGAAGTCGACTTATAAACGAGGGGTCTCGGGATCGATATTTAAAGTAACTGAAACTTGTAGGTAAAATATAATTGAGACTAATGTAAGAAACGTTTTATCAGTAACTTTAAATCTTACATTACAATTGTAATTTCATTTTTTTATGAGATAAGCCGGTAAACGGGCAGTCGGATCACCTGATGGTAAGCAATCGGCGTCGCCCATGGACACCTGGAACACCAGAGGCGTTACAAGTGCGTTACCGGCTTTTTGGGGATTAGGACTTTGAGGATCGTTGGGGATTCAGGGATTGGGGAGGCTGGGGAAGGGGTTAATTGGGCCTCCTGTAACCTTACTCACACGACGAAACACAACGCAAGCGTTGCTTCACGTCTGTTTTCTGTGAGGCCGTGGTATCACTCCGGTCAAGCCGGCCCATTTGTATATTTATTTATTATTTATTCGTATGTTATATATATTCAAATTATATGAAATCATACTTCTCTAATCAATCAAAATAGATCATCAATATAAATACTTGATCTGCATTGATCATTTCGAGTGAAGCTTGTCCTTCCGACAGCAAACATGTTGCGCTCCGTCGGGCGGATAAACTAGTACTTGATGAAATTGTATCTCTGCTTTGTGAAATCCAGTTCCGACTACATTCATGTCTAGTTCTTCAGAGTTCTTGTTGTTCTTGATACTAGAAAAAGTACAAATTGTTATACATTTAAAATCATTTTATTTACTATATTTTTATTTTTATTTTTACCCATTAGGGCTGATGCCGATACGGAGCCGCGTCTTAACGGGTTACCGGGGCTCCAGGTCAAAGTGCAGGAATAGAAACGGGGTGGTTTTTAGTCAGTAAGAGTTGTACACTCCCTCTCGCCTCACCCGGGCGGGAGAACACATTCGATGAATTTTCCCCCTCAAAAAACCATAAATATGTCATCACGACCGGCGTGATGTCACGGCCTCACAAAAAAGCACCGTGACACAACACGAGCGTTGTGTTTCAAAATTCTATTCTTTAATAGATTACATCATCATCACTCTTTTTCTCCTTACAATATGACTCGTTGCTGGTTAATACCCTATCAACACTATCAAGTTGTTTAATAAAGACATTTTAATATATTTACATAAATCCTTCAGCCTTTTCGCCACCGTTGTTTGTAAGCAAGTTCTTCACGATCCCCATTCCTTACTGAAGTACAATCACGCACACGAGTGCGTCACGTCTCGCCGTCACTTGATACAGTCGCGTTCAAAACGTAATTACTCGTAGACGCGTTCGCTTGCACTTTTGTCACTCAATACGCCCGGTAAGATGTGTGGTACAAGTTATGAGATGGAGACGGTGATTGTACTATTACTAATATTATAAATGCGAAAGTTTGTGAGGATATAAGTATGGATGTGTTTGTTACTCTTTCTCGTGAAAACGGCTGAAGGGATCGAAATGAAGTTTGGAACAGAGGTAGGTTATAGTCTGGTCATATAGGCCACTTTATAGTCCACGGGAACGCGGGCGAAGCCGCTGGCAAAAGCTAGTTCGTTATCCTTACTAATATTATAAGTTGGAAAGTGAGTTTGTTTGTTTGTTTGTTTGTTCCGCTTTCACGCCGTAACTACTAAACCGATTGCTTTGATTTTTTGCAGACGTAAAGTTAGAAGTCTGGATTAAATAATACGGTAAATTTGATATTCCCGAGGGAAAACAAAAGTATTGGTATAGATGGCGCTGTGTGTATTGGTATATGTCACATCGGCTATTTTTTATCCTTTTGTGACGCGAGTGAAGCCGTGGGTAAAAAAGCTAGGATTATATATACGTTATATACGTTTGTATGAATTTTCCTATAACCGCCATATCACACCATTGTTGAAAACAGATTCAACCCTAGTTGTTATAATAAACAAAGATATATTTACTTCTGAGAGTGCACATGTGTAGAAAAATCCAAACACGGTACACTTAAAAGCGCCTAAGAACTCACGACAAGCGCCATTTTACACAAGACACATACGTGAAAGGTCTCAAAAGTAGAATTTAATTCAGTAATTCATTATGATGTAATTAAATTTTGGCTGTATGCACGAGCAGCGCTGAGAGCGCGGTGTTTCAGTCTGGCCGCCGGCGGTGAATGCTTACTTCCTTACGAACTACTCTATATTGCTTCACATTCACACACACGTGTTAATTGCTGGCGAGTCGTTCTCCGCTTTCTTTATACAAATGTTTATAATTCGCATTGCTTGCCATGTTTGTGCTACATCAAAGTGCAAGCCCCTACCTCGCTGCTTCACTTCGCTACCTCGCTTCCTTGCCACATCGAATGAGATTAATTTCAATTAGATTATTAAATAGCGCATATTGTAAGCTTTAAAAATCTTTATTCTTTTTATTAAGTAGTTTATAACAAATTAAAGAAAATAGGGGGTCAGTATTTTCACATGAGTCATCCGTAAAAATAGTAGTCAGAATAGAGTAGAGTTCAGAGTTCCGGGGTTTTCATGGTCGTATCTACTATAGATCCTGGCTTACAGGTCTAGTCCCATAAAAATAACCTAAAAAGGAACAGTTATAGAGATTTTGAAAGTGTACAAATATCTGTCTGGTGTCTGGGTCTGGGTGTCATTGTGTATGTGAAATTGTATGTTTGTAAACGCACCCACGACACAGGAGACAATCCTAGTGTGGGGCAACGTTTTAAAAAAAAAAGAAAAAAAAAGAAAATATAATAATATTCTAGTTATCAAATAAACTTGAAACACTATTCAATCTGTATATATAAAAATGAAACTAGTTTCCCGTTGCCACGCCATAACTTGAGAACCGCTAGACTGATTTAACTGATTTTTTTGCTGTGTTTGTTATTCTCCTGACAGGAGAAGGTTCTTATGATAAAAAAAACCTGAAAATCTTACGGAAACGGGAGAAAACGGGATTGCGCGTACGAAGTCGTGGACAGAAGCTAGTAAAATAAAAGCTACCAACCTCTAGTAGGGGCTCGCGTTATAATATCGCCGACGCGCGGCGGAGCGGCTGTGCGGCGCTCACACACTCGTGTGTTTCTTACACTTTCTAAACGAATAGAACTGGATCATGAGTTAATGTGAAACTAGCTCCACGTCGCGTGTAATGTAATATATTATGCCAACACTTGCAGTTCTTGTGCGGGTTTTATGAATTAACATTTTACTTTAAAAATGTTAAAGGAATGAAAGATGAAGTAATTTTCTAGACGCTTTACATGATGTAAATGTAGATTATGCTAGCTATTCATATGAAATTATAAAAGGTGGTTGCTCATTATATTACTTATACCACTGAGAT